CATTGCAGCTTACTTCCGCAGGACTGCTGTTTAGTAGGTGGACCTATAGATCAAAACCGTTTGTGAGTACCAGAGCTCAGCATACCAAAAGCATAGGACACGTCTCAGTGCTGTTCATTATGCAACGCTCTAGGTTGTGCATTTCTTGTCCCCGGCAACATTGTGTAGAGCATAAGGGACAGCTCAGGCCCGTTGGGGATTCGTACCGGTTTCACTCTCTAACACACACACTGAAGTCACATACAGCATCCTACTGTGAAAATGATCATTTTCCCCAACTGAACCCAGTTTTTAATCAAAACCAAATTTTTTCCAGCCACATAAATAGAAGAACACAATTTGAAAACCCTGTCCTAGAAGCAAAAAGGAAGCTACAGCAGCATAACATGCCCAACGCAGAACTTGGAACAAAGCCTATGCAGGCCCAAGGTTTCCGAGGTACAGTACTGTGTCAGCTATCTCAGTTAAGATGAAAGATCCTGCTCTCCTGTTTATGTGACAATGATTCCATCATAGTCTGATTAAAAGAGTAGCGTTGCCAGTTCTCACAATGTTATCACATATCTCCTAACATTTCTCTTCCCTAAATGTCTGAGCTCCCAGAGTTGCGGGACTCACGAGCCACCTAAAATACTTTGACCTTCAGAGGTGCAGAGAAAAGACAGAAAAGTTGGCCCTAGCATTTCCTAAAGGCTGAGAAACAGAACGCACAATAAGAGCCCTGAAGTAATTTTCTAAATAAAAACATAAATTCTATTCTTGGTAATGTATGACTCTCTCTTGAGCACCCAAGGTTGGCAACACTGAAATAATTAATTGTACTTTCTCTAAATTACCGTTAATTGATGTTTGGTATGTTTCTAAGCTAGCTCATCTAGCAAGCATCAATTAAGTTAAAAGCCTCAAGCACTGTGTTCTAGGAGTTTACAAGAATACAGCCTCTTGGTAACATAAAAATTAATGTGCTTAAAATGATCTGTATGAGCAGCACATAGTATTGGTAGAGACAAATACGTTTTAACATAAGGTTATAGCCAGAAAATGAGGCCTGTTCTCCTTTGTAACAGTAGAAAGCTCCTCATCAACCTTACCTAGACCCAAATTCGCCCACCTGCGCCTCGTTCCCAAGAGGTCCCGCAGCGTGAATGACCTGTCCCAGTGCCGGCGCGACCCCGCGGGGACGCACAGGCTGCACGGTATGTCCTCGGCATGGCCAGCAGCCAGCCCAGCCCCACCACCATTGGCGTAGCAAGAGCAGTCGGAGTCACAACACTTGCACCTTCCTTCCACCCTTCCTCACGGAGTGCAGCACAGGAGAGAGGTGTGGCAAGCCCCCGCCAACCACACCCCACACCGAGGCATGCGGAGGGGGGACCTGAAGGGTGCACAGCAGTTACCATGTGTCGCTTGTTGGATGCCAAAACCCTGCGTGTTTGGAGATAAAAGCTCACCTGATATTCAGCACTACCTGTTAACAAATGGAATAAGATATTCAGGGGATTTTTTCCTTATTGTGGTTGGGAGGGAAATTATGGAGGATGTATTTCTTTGTAGACAAAGCTGAATTTGTGGGTTAGGAAAGAGGTTTTAAGATTACCTCACAGATCATTTTGATAGTTGTAATTATTTTAGCTACATGATAGCAACTTCTAAATGTATTTCTAATATGAAAGATTATTTATAATTCCCCACTTACGGCTGCCATAGATAAGAAATACATTTTAAGCTTTATATTAATCCAATAACTCACACTTATTTTTCCTTGAATGCCTGCACTCTTTATTTCCTTGATTTTTGTTCACTGTCACATTCTGTCAGCCAATATTGTTATCTGCTGGACCCGCTGTGTCATTACTAGATCAGAACTTTTGTCCTTCTTGTTTGTTTGACTGATGTAGAAAAACCACTCTTCACCCGTGATGCATCACAACTGAAGGGGACTTTCCTCAGCACAACTCTTAAGAAAAGCAACATGGGTTTTGGATTTACCATCATTGGTGGGGATGAGCCGGATGAGTTTCTCCAGGTGAAGAGTGTAATTCCTGATGGGCCTGCAGCACAAGATGGGAAAATGGAAACAGGTAATTAAGACAGTTCTTCTGGGTTTTTTTATATGTGAAGTAGAATGAGCTTTCCAAGTCTCGGACTCTCTACAAAACCTTACATTTCTCCGTGACTTTCTATGTCAATGTGTAAAACAGTGACTCTGTAAGAAAAGATAAGCTTCTCAGTTAAAATTTTCCTATAATATTTCTTTCTAACGAAGTCAAGTAGCTTATTTTTCCCATTTCACAACATTTCAAGGGAGAAAAGATCTCTGCATTCTCTTACATAAAATGGGATATGATTTTCTTTGCTTTATAGGCTGTTTACTCAAGGGGAGTCTGTGCACGGAAAGAAAAAGAGATAGGCAGAGAGAGTGAAGACTACTAAGTGCAAATTTATTTCTTTAGAGAGGATGTTTTTGCAAAATAATCAAAGTCGAGTCTGATCCAACATTGTTCTCATTAGAAGCATCAAAACAAGAGTTTTCAGTGTGGCATATGGACACGTAGGCATCTGTGGCCTGCTAATAAAGAATCTGTGAAAGCTAACTAAATAAAAGAAACTTCTTCTGAAGAGATTTAAAGCTGCTCTTAAGATCTAGACCACCACTGGAAATATTTCCATGCCCACAGACTGATAAAGCTTGCAAACCACTCACTGTCTTAAAGGTTTGCAGGGTCACATTATGTCTATGTATAAATGAAACACTTTTGGAGGAAGATGAACTCAGTTTCCAAGCTAGTTGTTATCTCCTGTAGGAGAAGACAATCAGATGATAATAGAGTAGTTTCAGTTTGCAGGGACCTCCAGTCACTAACCTTCTGCTCAAAGCAAGACTAACTTTGTGGTTGGATCAAGTTGCTCAGGGTTTCATCCATGGGAGTTTAGAAAATGTCATACGACAGAGATCTCACATCCTGTGTCGGCTCCTGTCTCAATACTTAGCCACTTTCATGGTGAAGATTGTTGTTCTTTAGATCCAGTTAGGATTTCTTCTGGAGAAACTGGTTACCAGTGGCTGTAGTCCTGTGTTCATGCAGCCCTGTCACTGTGAACTGTCTCTCTCCAGCAGTCCTTTTTCCTCAGATCATAGTCAGGCTCCACATTAGTACTGGGACATGTGCATAATTTTTCTTTCCATTTTTCACCAAGACTTTATAGAAGAAATACTGGTTTGGAATTTGTGTTGTCTCTGCAGAAAACCAAGTTCATGGTGGCCAGGGTCACTGTGAAGATAAAGAGAATTTCCTAGCCTGTGAGAGATCACTGTGGATGGACCACAGCAGCAGAGCAGGAACCTTTCCAAGTGTTACAGTACAGGAGGCAGACACATAAACACACACCAGCACAAATATTGGAGGAGGAATAGCCCCAAATGATTTTTCTGGAAATTTCCTTTCATCTTTCTTTCATTGTAGCAAAGGAATGAGCTGTCAGAATGAATCACCTTGAACTGTAGTTTGTTGTGTAGGACTCTCCAGGACTTGTCAAGTAGGAAGTGTGAGGCTTGTGAAAAACATTATGTTTAAAAAAATGCAGTTTACCTCAAGTCTCCTGTTACGGCCAGCCTGATGTTTCTGATGCCAAATAGGTAAATAGATAATTTAATATACAGAAGTTGAATGTAAGAAGGAAATAGATTATGGATTGTTGGCATTGGTTTTATAAAAACAAAAATTACTCTAACAGCTTTTTATTTCTTAAGTCTTGTTGCCATTCTAAGTTAATGCAATTTGTTTCCCAAAGGGAAAATTAAAGCAACTGATTAAATGAACAAAGGATACAACAGACTTCCTAAAGTTCAGGAGGTTTTGGTAACATGAACTTCATTTTTTCTAATATTTTCATATTACTTAATACACTGTGTGAGAGATTTTCCTTGTTTGTCATGGTTCAGCATTCTTAGATCCAGCACTCAAATGCAGTTACTTGCTAATCCATCTGAAGTGTGGGCTGATTATTGGTGAACTTGCTCATATGGAGTTTTGTCACTGAAAAAGAGAGAATGCTTGCAACTTCCTTATATTTTGATGTTGAAATTGAATATGAGAGTCACAATACTATTGATGGTGATTATTGTCATGGATTATGATGAGAATACGTAGCAAAAATATACTTTAAAATGCATAGAAATAACATTGATTTCTTATGAGGTAATTCAATTATGCAAGACTGTAAGGTAATTAATTCAAGAATGCAACACAGAAATGTACATTCAAATATATGATCACTATAATTTTGTGAGCCTGATATGTACAAAATTACATCTCAAAATAAATTCTGGCCTCAAATGTCTTCATTTTTGAGGAGAGTGACAGAGTTCTGATGTAAAAATTGGAGAATCTCAAGCTAATGATTGTAGAATCTCTCATGCTTTTTATGAATATTTGAAGTGATTTCTAAATATGATAATGGTAAACTAAAAATATATTTAAGGTCAAAATATTTAGAAAAGCACTGTTCAGCAAAGTGCTTGTATTTCATGATATCTTGTCATTTTCACACTTCCTAAAGTAGGATTTCTCTCCCTATTCAGCCATTTTACAATCTAATTAGCTGGAGATGTGAAAGCCTCCCAGTTTCATAAAGCTGTTAAAATCTTATGATTTAAAACTGTCTGAAACTACATATGTACCTTCTGTTTGTTAGATAGGCATCACTGGATGATGAACACAAACAGTGTGGTGGTGTGCAATTTATGTGCAGTCCAGCTATAATCACAGATATAGTAGGCTTTGATAAATTATCAGAACATCATATTGTGACAGTGGGGCATCACAGTAGAAATCTTGATGACAATGGCACTATAATCTGTGAAGCAACCTGAGTGTAAGGGGATAACCATAGATGCTGATGCTTCCAACTGTAACACAGCTCTGGAGCCTTTCCCTCATAAGGACAGATATTTTTCTTTGGCCAAGTGGTGAACACAAACCTAGTGCTTCAGATCTGCATTAAATATGAGGAAAAGGGGAAAAAAAAGACATTCTTTCCTTCACCTTACCTGACCTTGGCCGTAGGCTGAAGACACCAGTGCTGTACTTTATCCTAACTGTTAAATAAACTAGCTCATAGAAAACTAATATTGTAGCTTTGGTTTACTCCTCAACTCAAAATCTAAGTTAGAGGCCAAACACAAATGCTGTTCAAAGAGAAGGGGAATCTATGTAAGATGTTATAGACACACTTTAACATGCTCACAACACAGTGGTTTCACCTGCAGGTTTCTAAATGAAGTGATACTGGATTTCATCCCTTAGAACAGCTTCCTGACAGTGACTTGGCATTGCTGCGATGCTATGAAACAATTAAAGCAGTGAGACAGCCCTAGTGCACTGAGATGCTGCAAGAGATATCTGAGGTGATCCACCACCACTACACAGTACTGGACACTAACAGGTAGTACAATTGTCCCAGACCCACAACAAACCTCACAAGCAGACTCAGAGGAACCACACCACAGTGGTTAAGTTGAAAACAGCCAAAATTGCAGTCCTGATCCCATTTGCCAGATGTTTCAGAATTCCTAAGGGTTATTATTCCCTCGTGTAAATCTAACATCTGTGAGCTAATGGCTGTTAATAATACTGCAAATGCCTTTCTAGGACATGTTTTAACATTTGAAGTTCAATCAAGCTGCTGGAGACGAACATTACACTCCACAGCATCTCTGTCCACCTAAGGACAGCCTAGGAGCTGATACCTGAGAGTTACATTGCTTTGTCTTCTCTGAAGGCTCCCGCTGCCAATAGAAAACTGCCTGCTTTTAAGATGCCCCTATATCCCATTAAAATGCTAAGTGAACGTCACTGGTGAAAGACTGCATCTACATGAAAAGATTTTTATACAGTGAGTGATTTTGAATGACTGCTGTTCTAAGACAAACAAAGATTTAGGCCTGCGGCTGAGTCAGATAAAAGCTCAAGCTGCAAAGGCAAAAAACTTTCCTACAGTTCTCAAGGTTATTCAATGGACCAGATAAACTGAAACACTCCCACATAATCAAGAGTGGGAAAGATTCTCATTCTGCGCATTTCAGCAAGTTCCAGTTCCTTTGGTGAAAGTTTCCAGGAAACAGCTCAAAGACATGGTGCACAAACGGTTAATTGCATCTGTTGATGATGCTTCTGACTTGATGAATAGCTCTAGTTATTGCAAGTTGAACTTTCCAGAAATGTATATACATCTGTGATGAATTTTCATAGCTCTGCAGTGTGAATCAAGAAATTGAAAGCATGGTCTTTGACTTCCTCAGCCAGGCATATTTGGCCACTCCAGAATTCTAAATTGTCTGAAAATAATGCAGACTTGGCCTTTTTTAGATGCTATTCTCTCAGGAATGGTAGCCTCACTGTGTTAGGTAACCTATTGAGCTAACAGATATAGATGCCTACAAGACAGATGTCTGCACTTACTACACGTATGAGTAGACATTTACCACTTCTAGGTTACAGCATTAAGATGAAGCCTAGAGATTAGTGATCTTGAGTCTAGAGGTCAGTCCCACATCTAACACTCAAAATTTCTGCTGCATCTAAGAGATCTCTAATGGGAATGACCTAACTGTTAGAAATACTGGAAGGAGTGACACATGGCCTTGCTGCAGTTTGTGGGTCTACTATCAAGACCCATAACAATCTTCTGCATATGATGAATTTTTCCAGAATGTAAGCAAGTTGCAAGCATTGCACACTTGTTGACCTGCACAATCATAAATTATGTTATTCACTTGAATAAGAGCAAAACTGAAGTCATTATCAGGTGGTTGACCCTACAATGTCACTAAGCTTAGAGAATAATCACCTAGTAATCATTCATGCATATTTTTGCACAGTAAGGACAATATCTCACAGCCTCTGTACAAAGTAGAGTGCTCAAGACAGAAGGAATAGGGGCATCTGCAAAAGGATGCGTTTTTACAAATGACGAGAGTTCTTTATTTCTGTTCTCTGTTTGTCCACCTAATGTCAGATCGGATGAGGTGCAAGCTGTCCAGTTTCAGCAACACCAGATAAGGTGAACTATATATGCACGA